CCTGTATATACATGACATTAACACCATGGCTGATGCTACTATTGGCCTGTATACATGACATTAACACCATGGCTGATGCTACTATTGGCCTGTATACATGATAACTTCAGAAACTAGCTAGTTGAACAATGTCAATTGCATGTTTAGACAAGGTTTTTGGCTAATGTCAGACAAATTCAGATATTAGGTTGTTTAAACAAATGTGATCAGATATGCAAAAGTTATGACTCAGATTTGTGATTCATGCAGTAAAAGTCCTTGCATAATAGTCACAGAGTTTATATTTCTTGACTCGGAACAGAGTGTTCTCACAGGCTTCTTTACTGAGTCACACTGTATGACAAGAAATATGTCAAGTGTGAAAAACAAGCATTTACATGGGAAATATTTCAGGATTCCCTTCTTATGCTATAGTGTTTATTGAGCTGTGAGCTTAGATCTACCATTGGGGTCAAATTATCGGAATGCCTTTCATTTTGTCCTTTCCATTGAATATTATCCCCATGAATATTCATAACTTAGCACCCTTAGTGTGACATCACCTATCAAAATCTTTTCCAAGTCACACTATATGAAACATAATGCTACTGAGAATAGACACTTTCTTGTTGACAGACACAGACTGGAGCAGTATGTACAGTACATTAAACAAGGGAACACAACATCTAATGCTTTGTTTATTGCTAGCTGAGGTCAATCCTTGTCCAACATGACCTGTTCTCAACCCCCTCCCCCCTGATGTTTTGTTCTACAGTTGTTATACCCCATTCATGACTGCTTGATTCATGTCCAGATAAGCATGGGGAATGATGGCTGGCTACAACAGGAACAAACAGATACACTAGCTAGCCACTACTACAGACCCCATCATACAGCACCCCATAAAGACTGCCTATAGTGTGTTTACAGACAGGGATTTAAATAGATTAAGATGCATGACAAGTGTCTAATGGTATGCTGAAGCTGGGTCAATATTGAAACAATGTGTTTGAGAGAGGAGGGGCAGTACGACTGGTGCTGGCCACAGGAGTGTGTGCATGCCGGAGGACATCCTCCTCCACACCTCCATACACTTACAGCCCTCTCAAACACTGCTCAGCAAATAATGGACATCTATTACCTCAATTGACTGGATCTCTATCTGCTACAGAAGTTGTTTCTAGCTAGCTATATGTCAAGTCAAGCTAGATGTGACATATGTGAGATGCGAGAAAGAATATATTATGTCTGTCTGCTGTGGACATTGTGTATAGCTAGTCGAGTGGGGCTAGATGAGATATAGGCTAGATCTCCATCTGCTACAGTGTATGGGTATAGCTAGCTATATGTCGAGTGGGGCTATATGAGATATAGACTAGATCTCCGTCTGCTACAGTGTATGGGTATAGCTAGCTATATGTCAAGTGGGGCTAGATGAGATATAGACTAGATCTCCGTCTGCTACAGTGTATGGGTATAGCTAGCTATATGTCAAGTGGGGCTAGATGAGATATAGACTAGATCTCCGTCTGCTACAGTGTATGGGTATAGCTAGCTATATGTCAAGTGGGGCTAGATGAGATATAGACTAGATCTCCATCTGCTACAGTGTATGGGTATAGCTAGCTATATGTCAAGTGGGGCTAGATGAGATATACACTAGATCTCCATCTGCTACAGTGTATGGGTATAGCTAGCTATATGTCGAGTGGGGCTAGAAGTGATATAGACTAGATCTCCGTCTGCTACAGTGGATGTGCATAGCTAGCTATATGTCGAGTGGGGCTAGATGTGATTGATATAGACTAGCTCTCCGTCTGCTACAGTGGATGTGCATAGCTTGCTATAGGGTGAGTGGGGCTAGATGTGATATAGACTAGATCTCCATCTGCTACAGTGGATGTGTATAGCTTGCTTTATGGTGAGTGGGGCTAGATGTGATATAGACTAGATCTCCATCTGTTACAGTGGATGTGCATAGCTAGCTATATGTCGAGTGGGGCTAGATGTGATATAGACTAGATCTCCATCTGCTACAGTGGATGTGTCTAGCTTGCTTTATGTCGCATGGGGCTAGATGTGATATACACTAGATCTCCGTCTGCTACAGTGGATTGGGGCTAGATATTATATAGACCAGATGTGATATAGACTAGATGTCTGTCGGCTACATCTGACAGAGGAGTGCTGAATAAATGAAACTGATAACCAACACCTTTCTACACACAGCACTGTGTCAATACAGCTCTATATTATTGCACAAAGAACAAAGGTATGTATTTTCCTGTACCAAAGACCCCGACATTGTACAACTGCAGGGAACAGCTCTTGTGGTGTGGGTTACCCTCACAAATGTTGAAAGCGCCAAACCCATGCATGGAATTTTGGCAACATATATTTATGTGGTTTCTCTGACTCGGGGAGAACATGGTGCTTCTCTGAATAAATTGGAATAATGATTTTGTACTACATATGTAATACCTGAGACATTATTCAAAGTTCTACTAAATCTTGATTGAACATTTCCTCGGTCATGGCAGTCATCTGAACATGTTCACCTGCCAACCCCCGCCTGTGTCCTGTTACTCAGGAAAAACTCCAAATCCACATAAATGCTTCCCACAAAATTGAAATCAATTAACCTTGCATAACAAACAATACACAATTTCTACAGATAAAATATGTCTTTCTGTTTGCCACTAATAAAAGAAGTATTCCTAAGTTCACACATAATTTCTTTCACTACCCACCTAGTTATATCACACTAAAAGCCAACATCCTCCAGATTTGGAATGGAAATATTCTCATGCATCCAAAATTATTCCCTTGAGAGTTTAAAGGAACCTGAAGCTCCAACATTTCTGTTTTCCAATTAAAGTTTGAGTAGTGTTTATCCCACTGCGGAATCCTCTGAGTTGTCTGTGTGTCTTCCTGTGAGTGTTGCTGTGTGTGCCAGGCCTGTGGCCGGCATAGCCGAGACCAATATTGACTCAAGGGGACATCATGTTTGTCCCTGCATGTTCAGCCCACCAGTGTGAAAACTGCTGTATTGTCTTGTCCAATTTTAGGCAGATGCATACACAACCGTTCAATGCTGCATATTTTCAATGCTGTGCCCGTAAAATTTATGTACTAGATGTTGTACTAGGATTCATCTGTCAACTGGACAGCTAATATGATCATTTCCAATTCCATGATGAGATGACTGTTTTCCAATGCAACATAGCACTCTGTCACTGGGCTGGCATACAGACAAGGAGTGGCAAGACTATCCCGTGATGTTGCCACTTCCATTACCTGCATCACTGAGTGTATTTCTACACCTCTAAGTCTTCAAAATAACACTTTTTAATATGAGAGAAGGTCATACAAGGTTCAAACTAACATTGATAAAGTCTTAGCATCTACATGATGTAGAAAACACTGCCTCTGTAACACTGAGTTTTGAATGTGACCAGACAAGTCATACTGACATGACATATTTGTCCGGACTGAAATGTTCAAAGTATTCATATGTTCATGAAAGGTTAAATAACAATTTCTGAACTATAGCTTATGCCCTGTTTACATAAAGAAAGCTTTCTTTTAATCAGGTAACTAACAAAAGTTGACACAAAAATTGGCCCTTCAAGACGTGCTCTTCATAAAAATCACATATCATGAATTAATGAAAAGAATTACCCATCCAGCACACTGTGAGACTTGGATGGCTTCCGCAACAATCAAATACTATTTCCAGTCATGAAATTTATTTGAAATCCTGGATATGCCCTTAGATGACCTTGCACCATCACTATCCCTGGGAGTCCCCCCCCCCCCCCGCAACATTTACAGTGGATTGTTTTGGGTCACAGAATCTGACAGCTGACCTGCCTCTGTGGTCAACAATATATATGTAAATTATATCGTGCAGAACCCTCCTCAATCCACATTCAAGTTGTCAGTTTTTTCATTGTCATATCAATTAAAGCCCTTCTGGTGAAAGAAACAGTGTGCGGAGCTGGTGAAAGAAGTGAGTGAGGCATATGCAAATGCTGGGTGCTCTGGCTCAGAATGGACATGACTCTGCATCACAAGCTTTCTAGTTTAATTTGAAATGTTAAAAAAACTTGTAATCAATGTAATCAGACTGGAAGAATATTCATTGTAAGACCTCACAGGTGTGGTGAATTTGACAGCCTGAGAGAGAAAAATCTGATTCTTGAAGGCCAAATGTTCCTGGCCAGTCAATATCCTGAACCAAAATAAAAGATTTCAACTTGAAGTTACCGGGGTATATTAAATGTTGTTTGGCAGTGTATGATGCAGATGGCACCACTAGGGCACATGGGGTGGTGGCACCAACATGACTGCCAGATTTACTGCCAGACTCTCTACCACAAGAAATACTCCATACTGTAGATCCAGCATATCTGAACAATAACACCACAGTTGAAATCCAAACACCGACTTCTGAAACTGGACAATAGCACTTCTTGTAGTTCCATCCATGCACACACCACAAATGGTATATATCCAGACAAAGTGAACAACACTGTACAACAGTAGGAACAAGCACAACATTGTCTAGCACAGAGCGACACAAGGGGCAATCATATTGCACCACAATGAAATAATTGGAGTACTTGCACCCATGCTCATCAATACAAGGTAGAATGTTCCAGTAGGATATGATGTCTACTGTAGGGACATCACAATGTATGGACACAGACGGAATTCAGCATGTGTGTTTTAGTACTACCTCGGGGGCCATGATTTCTAGTAATTGTGTCTCTGTAAGATAAAACCAATATCAATATCAAATAGATACTATGACATACTACTACTTTTTCTTAGTCCAACATTCCAATGTACAAAATAATTTGGTACATATCCCAGAACTCATTACAGTAGACCATCAGTACTAATGCTGGTTGTCGTCAACCTGCTGTGCATGGGACGTGCACATCCTCAACACCACCAACACCACCACAACTGCAGGCTCTAGTTCACTGCAATACGTCACACAACATTCAACTTACCTTTATGGAATCAAAGCAGGCTATCACCCGCCCATTCTGTACTTCCACGTGTGGAGGTGGATGAGCAAATTTGCATTCATTCTCCGTGCGGGTGCATTTGTTCCGTTGGAACTCGCGGCAAACTTCCAGTGTAAGCCATCTTGAGTCCTTAACATTGGGGTTAGGAATGGCTAGATTCAGCATAGGATTCACCATGGCCATACCAAGAGTTACTCGCTGGGCAAGATATGAAAGACAATGGGTTTTAACACTAAGTACTCAAACAAGAGTCACCATAAGAGACCAACTAAATGTGTAGCTAGTAGGACACAGACGGTAGAGGTCATATAAGGATAGGTGAGTCCTGGTGTAGAAGCCACTTTGCCTTGATCTGTCAGTGAATATACCACTTTGTGGGACACAGGGATTGCTGTCTGGCACTAGGGGAGGGTGTTAGCTTTCTCCAATATCAAGGATCTGAAACAAACAACAGGTAACATTAAAACAAATTCAATTTAGACAAACTTAAGCACAGTCATTTCATCATTTTACCTTATGCTGTATTACAAATCATAACGAATAAATCAAGCTTCCTGTCCGCATAGTACTACCTAATAAAGACACAGAATGTCTGTCCAAAATCGTCCTGTCCACACCAGCAATGTATCAGCTTCCTTGTTTCACAACAGTTGATAAAACATAACTGACAACAAGGAGATTATAGTTTCAGGATGTGATATCTACTATCACCAGGAAGGAGTTGAGGCTCATGGTTTACATACTGACTGACAAATCTGGTTAGAAATTCATAGAAGCACAGCATATAATGATCCAGCCCAAAATATGTGCAATATATGAGAATATTCTGATTGAAAACAGTTTATCATTTATTGTGGAATATATTTTGGTGGCAAAAGGGCTTAATGACATAGTATACATGTATGTTATTTTCTGGCACATATGATGATGTAGAAATCATTACATATGTACTGTGTGAGGACTGCCAGACATGGAAGAATCGAGTGGCATGTGACAATAAGGGGATAAAAGCCAGCCCCACCCACTCCTGCTGGACTTCAGGAACATACTCCCTGTCTATCATCACAACATCTCTTGGCCAGCTGTGGTAACTGATTACAAGGATTTTTGTCATTTCTAAAAGCCATTAACATTCCATTTCCCTCTTCCCACTTGAGAACTAGCTCTCCACTTACAAGCAGCTAGGCTGGTCCTAAGCCGCTCATCACCCTCACCAGAAACGGCACAGCTCATACTGGCCATATCACCATGTCACATCGTATTTAAACCTGTCATTTCTAAATACAACAACTCTGTAAATGCTTCATATGAAAAAGCAAGAGAGGTGAACTTCATTGAGAAACTACACATGTTCATCAGGACCTTTTCTACAATTTGCATGATTTGTGATGCTGTCTCTGCTGTGTGACACTCAACATCTAATTAAATTAAGAAATCAATTTAAATGGGAGACACAAGCTCATGTGATGCTCATCCTATTCGTCTTAAATCCTGACATACAACAGACATTTTAAATCTTCAAAGTGAAGAAGTCAGGCTTCTGTCTTTCAACGCAACTCCTGGCATCTGTCACATGATTGCTGGATCAACCTCATGTACCGTCTACATAACATGTAGAAATCCTTTGTGCTAATAACATCAACATTAAACTAATCATATTTCATGAAAATCAACGTCATTTCAGACTGAGTCATGACCAGAAACTAGAGACAGAAACTGCAACAGTTTGGGGGTAGGAAATAGTTATGTGTAAACATAAGCCTCATTCTCACTCACTCACAAGAGTAGCCACAGGTAAAGGAAGGGGGAGGGGGGGTTTGTCTGACCAGTGACCTGAGCTGACCCTGGAGGCTGGCAGGCCATGACCTGGCACACCCAAAGGTGAAGCAGCTGCGACCCTAATCTAGGTCAGTGGCACAGACACATGACCAGAGGAGAACAAAGCTGCCTATCCCTGGGGAGGAGGAGGAGCAGGGAGATAATTGCCTGCTCCCACAGCTCTCAGCATCCCTCCCTGTGATTGGTGGGCAGATCATTGGCCAGGAACAATATGAGAGACACTTCTGTCTCACAACCTGGTACATACTGCACATTAACACGTTTTCTTCCAGTTAATGGAACAAAAGAACATTTGAATATCAACTCACAACTTGGACCACCGATAACCTAAACCAAACAGTAAAAATATATGATAATAACCCGACATAATTCATGCAGACAATTTTTTTGAATGACTGCTCATAGCTTACAATATGTGTTAAGTCAGTTCAATTCTTTTGTATATGGTGTAGGCTGTGGTGATACTGGAAACTCCAAACATTATGAGGCAGACAGATCCAATGCACAGACAGACGCTACAGACCATGTAGTACTGACTGGATCCAATGTGTCATCTGTTTGTCTGATGGGAGGGAGGCCTGACTAACTGCCTGTGAATTCCGTCTGTGCCACACATGGTAAGATGTGTTCTTCCTCCCCACCAAGTGTGTGAGGAATGCCAGCATACATACCACACCCCTGCTCTAGGCCGGCTTCTCACAACAACACATTCAACTCCATCAACTCGATTAGAAATGCTCAAACATTTTGTTTTCATAATCTCACTAGAAATTAATCTTTGCATAAATGGCAAATATATGACCCTACACAAGGTTAAAGTGTTGACTGATTTTATGAAACTGCACGGACTATAACTACTGCCTGACAGTGTGTGAAACATGTAGGAGTATTTCCTATACCATTTGCTGATCCATTCACAAGAGAACCAGGGAAACCAATATTCACAAAAGTTTGGAGGTGCACAAATGTTTCCTCAACAGACATATATGCAGGCTGTTAGAAAACACAATGACACTGTGAGACAGTAAAATAATGTTCATTTGGTTTGAGACAAATACGGATCTCTGTGCACAAATGTCAAGTCGACCAGACAAGCCTACATCACGTGACCTCCCTCTCTCCCTCCCGGCAAACTGTTTGTGTGGGCTAGCTCTCATTGTCAAGGTTTAGGGTATTTGAACAATGGTCAGCTTCCACACGTACACTCTCAAGTCAACATGTGGACATACAATGGCATGGCGTTCAGTCCAAAATAAATTTCAAACCAAGCATAAAATGACAAGTCAAAAAATGTAACTAATGCTATTGAGTGATAGCCAAGTGATATATTTACTGCCTCAAATCTGTACCTATAATATGATTTGTTTCATACATATAACCAAATACAGTTTACACTCTCTTCATACAAAACCTACATTCAATTTCTATCATGCATTCACATGCAGGTATCTCTTTCAATAACCACTGTGACTGGACAAGGGGGCTGTCCATTCAACACACATTCACTTGAGCAGTCATGCATATTCCACAAACATTGTGAATCCAAACCATAACTTCTTCTACACTCAGCCTAACTGTGTGTCCTGGTTTCACAGTAATATAGAACACACCGCCATCTAGTGAGATGGGTCGGTCCCATGTGCACACCAGGAAGTACAACCTCACCGATTTGTCTACTCAAACTCAGGAATAGTAGGAAATTTCAAACACTGAAAGGCTTAAAAGTGGTTAAAATCTACACACGGTACACTTCCTAACCTGCACCATACAACAGACAAATCATGTAAACACATACAGGTAACTGATGACAATATACTGTCAAGTTGGAAGCATCTCCAATTCCACTAACATCTGAGCTGTAAATGCGCCAGCCTGAGTGAGGTGGGCTACAGTCTTCTCTGTGTGTGACTGCCTCCCTCTACCTGGCCCCACAGTAATGACACACTTGCATGACACCACGCACCGGTACACACACATGAACCACCAGGCAGTCGGGCCAGCCATCCAGCCAGACCAGGCAGCACAGTACATGTGACAAGCCAGACCCCAAGTTTTATTAGCCGGCAAAGCTGGAAAACACAGTAATCACTAAACACAGGCTCAGGTTTTTACTGTTGTCCTTGAAGGCAGTTAGTTCATGTAGCCTCAACATGTTATTATCAAGTCATGTATCCCACAAATCTACTCACCCTTCTTTCGTTCCAATTCATAGCGTCTACTGTCCATTCCCTAGACATGTGCTTCTGTTCAGTTCTTTATCACTAAGAAGCTATCCCAGAGTGCTTTGTGAGCTCACTCCCGCCAAAACGCACTTCCTTTATCTGTTGCAATCTGTTTGTGGCGGCTGTAGCAGTGACACAAGAGCCCACTAGGTGTGTAGCTCACACAACCAAAAGCCCATTAAAGGGAGATCAGTACAACAAGCTTAATGCGGGTGGGTAAAGGATTGTTAACTAATATGAAATAGCTCCACACACCTCTGTATTGAATGACTTGTGGTCGGTTTGCCAGCTACTCATCAGGTGCGTAAAGCTATGACTGCCTGTTATTCGTCCAGGTAACATGTTTCAGTGTGGCTGACCATCTAGGCCACTGGCTAAACATAGATTCTTCAGTCTGAATACTGCCCTATGAGAACCTCACTACAAACAGGCCAACTAGAGGAATCAGCTACATGGAAGCCAGTTTGTTGCCACTGTTCCTATTCATCACATTATATAAGTCCAAATAACAAATCAGAAGTTTTGTAAACCGTTTGCTTTAAAAAAAAGCTGCAGCAGACGTTTAAACTAAATATGTATCAAAATGTTCCCCTGTGAATTTCACCAATGTTACTGACCGACAAAACAATAATTGAATTATTTTGGCCCATGGGATAAACCTTTCAAATAATTGTTGCAATCTGCATAATCAGGACACAAAACTACACTAATGACCTCCCCGAGGACATTCGAAAGATTTAGTAAGTTGAGAGCTAACGTTCATAAATGTTGGTGTAGTTTCAATGAATTCAAGCTTATGACAAACTGGTATCTACTCTATACAATGCTATATCTTCACCAGCCATCAGACTCCATACAATACAACATATGCTCAACACAACACAGTATTTTCAGAACTCTGCCCCTACATGTCCCTCCATCTGCCCCTACATGGTCCCCTCTATCTGCCCCTACATGTCCCTCCATCTGACCCTACATGTCCCTCTATCTGCCCCTACATGGTCCCTCCATCTGCCCCTACATGGTCCCCTCCATCTGCCCCTACATGGTCCCTCTATCTGCCTCTACATGTCCCTCTATCTGCCCCTACATGGTCCCCTCCATCTGCCCCTACATGGTCCCTCTATCTGCCTCTACATGTCCCTCTATCTGCCCCTACATGGTCCCTCTATCTGCCCCTACATGGTCCCCTCCATCTGCCCCTACATGGTCCCTCTATCTGCCCCTACATGGTCCCCTCCATCTGCCCCTACATGGTCCCCTCTATCTGCCCCTACATGGTCCCTCTATCTGCCCCTACATGGTCCCCTCTATCTGTCCCTACATGGTCCCCTCCATCTGCCCCTACATGGTCCCTCTATCTGCCCCTACATGGTC